AACCAGAACTACATCCTCCTTCAAAATACATGTTGCAAATCCTAAGCACCAAACCTCTAGTTTGGGGAAGTGGGTTGTTTCTGGTATGTTAACGAATCAAGATTAGTGTAGGATCTATCTCTATGACGAGTTCATCTCTTTTGAGATCTAAATAAGCAAGCAGCGTGAGAGAGAGATGGGATAAAACAAATGCCAAGATGCAAAAACATCCTCCAAAGAAGCAGGAAGCAGAAAGCAGAAGCTGAGAGGTAAGGACCGTCCTCCAGAGCCGAGAGAGAGGGTCAGCATTCTGAATTCGGACTGCTATCTCCTAAACTGGGAAGAATAACCAAGGCCCCCGGCCCTCCCTGCTATAACAGCAGTGGAGGACTACGGCAGCGGCCTGGGCAAGTTTCCTGGACTAGAAACAGACTGCACCCCGAGGCAGCCCCCCTACCACAGAAGTGAGTCCAGGCATCCCCTGGACAGACAGACAGACCCTCACAGGTGACAGGATTGGAGGAGACCAGACCAAGACTTCCAGGGCAGCGCTCTCTGCACATTTACAAATGACAAATTACAAATGACACTCAACTAAAGTGCCACCCTGTTGGCTAAGAAAACATGGGACATCCTGGGGGCTTGGGGAGGCGGAGGAATTGTCCTCAGGGTAAGAAATCATTATCTACAGTGGGAAGAAGTGTCTCCTCTCCTAACTTCCTGGATTTTCCAGTTTTTGAATACAAGCGGAAAGTCAGTCTTATCATTGAAAATATTTCCCCAGAGGAAGTGAGCAGGTCCCCCCGGTGTCTGGGGTCACTGGGCTGGCAACGCCATCCCGAAAGCTGGCATTTGAATACGCTCAATGCTATGTCAAGTACAGCACCCAGGGCTTGGTGGGGCACACGACAAGACTCTGAGGAGCTGAGAGGCTGACAAGGCCGCACAGCAAGGCAGCAGGGCTGGGCTGGGCTCTGACCCTTACCCCACTTCTGAGCCGGTGCACATGCTGGCCTCCCTATCTCAACTGTTCAGAATTACCAGATACAGTGTGGTAAAGCCCCCATCCAATGCCCAGAAGGCTGGGAAGTCGGGGCTGGCCTTTTCCCACAGCAAGCTCAAATCAGCCAGATTCTGCCCCCACTTCCCACTGAGGATGAGGCGGCTGCTTCATTCCTTCCCCTAAGGAAGTTAGGGCCCCCAGTGGGGTCAGAGGTCACTGATGCCTGTCTGGGGCTCCCCCAGGCAGTGGGCCCAGACCCAGTCTGGTCCTTTCCAAGTCCCCTGCAGAGGCAGTGGACTCCCAGAAGCTGTAGGAGTCCTCGCCCCAAGTAGTGGATCAGAACCACTGGCCCAGATGCCTCCAAGAACCCGCACTCAACCACAACTGCTCTGGCTTTTGAGCAAACAGACCCTGGCTCCTTTGTGCCAGCCTGGCGACCTTGGCCAAGGGGGTATGGAGGGAGCATGGGGACTTGGGGGTGCTCTTGGAGCACAGACAGTGGCTACGGTGACAAGAAAGACGTTCAATGCAGTGGGCTGCCCCTCCCCAACAAGCACCAGTTCCAAGTAGTGAGGAGGAAGGCCAAGGTCAGTGTCCAGGCGACGGCCCTGCTGCCCTCTCACCCTCCCAGCCACATGCTGACCCTTGTCCTGGGGCCTGGATCCCAGTGGGAGACCCAGGCAGCCGTGTGGGGCTAACGCTGGCCTGTCTTCAGTCGGACCACACGCACGGGAAGCCCTGCCAGGGGATGGAGGCCCTGACTGGAAGGCTGAGCACAGGCCACGGAGAGAGGTTCAGGGGACAAGGCCACAAGGCCACCTGACGGTGTAGAGAGGTTCCCACATGTGTCATTTGAGCTGAGGCCCGAAGAAGGGGCAGGAGGGTGCAGAGGGGGAGGGGTTCCCAGAATGCTAATGCCCGAGGTATTGAGAAAGGTGTTCTGGGGGGCTAGAGATCAGATCAGCAGGGAACCCCCTACCCGATCACTAATGAACCAGGCAGGCGGCTCTGGTCTCTCAGTGGAGGGCAGACTGGTCCCTAGCAGACCAGGGCGCTTTCCCTGCCCCTGTGAGCCCAGCGTGGGCAGCAATGTGGGCTGGGGATGGACCTTTTCCCACACAGCCATCTCCCTGGGGGCAGCAGCTCTAAGAGGCCACGGGTGCTCGGGGTCCAGGTCCTTAGCCACATGCACAGAACTGAGCCCATGCTTCCGGAACCAGACTCTTACTCCCCAGCCTCCTTTACAGTTAGGAGTTGCTATGACAACCAGGTGATGGCCTCCCGGACCCTGAGAATGGCGGAGGCACAGGACAGAAGAGTTAGGATGCTCTAGGGCCCCAAACTGGCCTCCTTGGATGCACACACACAAAACAACTCAGTTAAGCCAATGTTAGTAGAGTTTTCTGAACCCACAGCTAAGCAAAAATGCTAAGGCACACGCTCCACCTGCTCTCTGTCAATAGCTGTCAGACAAGGAAAAAGACCCATTACCCTCAGTCCTGCACACCAGGGAGGCCTCAGTGGGCACCTCTGACTGGGGCACCCTCAGTCTAGCCAAGGCCACTCCAAGCAGCCCTCGGCCTTTCTCTTCCCATCACTGTTTCCTGCACTCCCAGGGCAGCAGGCCCTTCAGGATCCTCCATGGAGGAGCTCCACCCCTGGCACTTGGCTGGGCATGGAACTAAGGAAAAGCATGGCTTCTGGAATCACTCCCTGAAACATCCTTGAGCAATCCCATCCTCCCTACCCCCTGCGGGCCTTAGATTCAAGTTGCTTCTCTCAACTTCGGTCTCTTCCTCTGTAAACTAGCACCCAGAAGAATCCCTATTCCCAAGGTGGCGGGGCATCTGGCATGGGAGATGGGAGGAGGGTGCTTCCCAGAAGGTCGAGCACCACTGGAGGGGAGGGGAGGAGGTTCAGGGTGTGTAGGGCTGGTGACAACCTGGCAAGTCAGGGACCACCTACCACTAAGCTCCTCTCCTCCCTCACCATCCGCCAACTCTCTCAGAGTGGCTGTGCAGAGACAAGCCCCTCCTGCGGATCTCTCTCCAGTCACATCCCTTGGGGGGCCTTGTCAGAGTGTCTTGGCAGCCCTCACATGACACTAAGGGACCTGAGGAGGCGAGAATCCCAGAGGAAGGGAGGTGCCTCCCAGGGACTCTGCCCACCAGCCAGCCCTCTTCCTCTCTGGGGGCCTGGTGCCCCAGCAAGAACAAAATACCTGCTGTTCCCAGTCTCCTGAAGTGTCCCCTTCAGAAATCTGCCCTGGGGAGGGGAGAGGAGGGTGGTCCGCAAGTCCCACTGAGCACCCCAAGAGCCCTCAGAGTCCCTGAAAGGGGCAGCCTTGTTAGTGGGAATCAAGACAAGGTTGGGGACCCAGGATCCTACCCCCAGGCTAGGTGGAGGCAGGTGATCCGGTGGCCAGGCCTGGGAGGCACTCCCCACACCCCGGCCCCCGTATCAGAAGGGCAGTCCTAGAAAGAGATCTAGGGCCCTCTGGGAACGCCAGTCGGGACTGGTCAGTACAGGAGCTGCTGGGATGAGGACTACAGGATGACACCAAACAGAGGGGTCAGCTTCAGGGAAGACCTACACAGGGCCCAGCCCTTTGCCAGCACCCCAGGGCCCCTGGGGGTCTCAGAAGCCTCTGCCCTTCCGGCTCCCAAGCTGCAGGCTTCCTGGGTTCTGAACTGAGTCTCCTGCTTTGAAAGCCCTGAGCAATGCTGGAATGGCACTAACACCCCTACACTGAGTGGACAAGGCGTACCCTTCACGGACATTCTCAGAACAGCCCCTCCCCCAGGACCCTCCCTCCAGCTCACCACCTACAGCAGCTTGGCAGACACAGTCATTCATCACGACCCCTGTTCACTAGAGGTAACATTATCCCTTCCACAAGGGGTGACTAGGTGCCCCTGAAGGCAGGGTCTGGGGACCAGGAAGTTTGGCCATCAGCTGGCCCCTGCAGGCTAGGGCAGAGATGGCAGAAAGACCCCAGGAAACCACACTGGGCTTGGAGGCCTCAGGGACCATGCTCTTCCACAGGCCAGACCACAAGACCATTGCAAAAGCTACAAGACAGGCTGTCCCAACGGGGCAGAGATGTAGCAACGGCCCTCAGGGGCAGGAACCTGGACAAAGAGCAGGAAGCAGAACGATCTCAAGCAGTCACCCACGGGGTCTCTAACCCAGAGCCTAACCCCACCGCCCAGACAGACTCAGAGCCAAGTTTCCCAGCTCTGGGGGGAAAGAGGGGAAGGGACACGGGAAAATCCTAGTCACAGCCTCTTACTTCCCAGTGCTTGGAAGCTGGACCCCTCACCGCAGCAGGAACTAGCTCCTCTAGCGGTCCCCCTCCTTCCTGAGACAAGCCAGGAAAGGGGCAGAGGGGGCTCTATCGGCAGGTGCATCCATCACCTGGCAAGCGAGCCGTGCTACGGGACCCCAATGCCCGGTGCGCCCCGACTTGGCGACGATCCAGACAGGTCTGCCCCGGGCGAACTCAGTTTAGTCTAGCCCTCCTTCTCTCAGAAGGACGCCGGGCACTCAGCGGCCAGTAGCCGGCACGCCCCTGGTGAGTAAAGGGACGCGGTGGCGACGCCAAGGCTGAGACCCATCTAAACTCCTGTGTCGGCCCCGGCCGGGCCTAGGGACAAGGGCGAGAGGTCATTGTGACGCGGGGCTCCCAAGGACCCTCCCCATCAGGGAGGCTCGGCGGGAGACAGGCGGCCGGGACAGGAAGAAAGAAAAGCAGAGAAGAAAGTTAGGGAAGCGGAAGCGGGTGGCGGCGGCCCCAAGTTCCCCCCCCCCCCCGCCTCCCAGCGCTCCGCCCCCCGCCCCCCCCCCCGCTCCCCCCGCCACAGTCCGGCCTCCCCCCAGCTCCCGCCCCCAGGGTCTCACCACCACGCCAGGGTCTCCCTGCGGCCCGGCGCCTTTTCGCCCCTGGGATCCCCGCCTAGCGCCCCACTCTCACCCCCAGATCTCCCCCCTTGCCCCGGGGCCCCCCGCGCGCCCTCACCTCATGTTCTCCACGGTGCGGCCGCCGTGGCGCAGCAGGCAGATCACCGCGGCCAGGGCGGAGGTGCCAAAGCAGAGCACGCAGTAGAGGGTGAACTTGGCGTAGAACTTGGCGGTGCTGTTTAGTTGTACCAACAGCAACAGCAGCAGCAGGGCCGCGCTCAGCCACGGCCAGAGCTCCATGCCCGCGGCGCGCCGGGCGAACGTGCCCTCGGCCGCCCCGGGCCCCGACAGCGCTGCTCCGGCGCCTCCCCGGCGGGAGGGCGGCGGACCTGTGGCTGGTGACGGCTTGGCTGCCCCCGCCCCGCCCGCCTGCCTCGCCCCTTATTGCGAGGGCGAGGGGCGGGGCAGCCCGGGGTGGAGATTGGAGCGTGCCCGCCAAGGAAGCGCCGAGGTGCGGCCGCCCCGCCCCGCCCCGCCCCGCCCCGCGACGCCCCGGGCCGCTCACCCCTCCGACGCTGAGCCACCGAGCCACCGGGCTAGGCTGTCAGGGTCCCCGCCCCGTGCCCTGGTCTCTTCGCGCCCCAGCCTTCGGACCCTTCCATCCTAGCCACCCGCCAGGCCATCGGGCAGCAGCGCCCGCCCACACTCCACACCGCCGCCACTGCCGCTGGGACTGGCCCGACCTCTGAGGTTGGACCCACAGCTCCCCAAGGGCGTAAAGGCAGCCCAAGGACGCGGCCGCCTGTGCCCGTCTGGTCACTACACAAAGGGGCCTTTTAACTGCTCAGCGACCAAAGGCCACCTGAACAAGCAGCTACCCCTCTGGGTACCCTGGGGCAGGCACTGGAAGACTGAAGAATGTGGGTCTCTTCTAGGTACCCCCAACTCTTAGGGTTTTCCCACAGAGGAACCTGGCTGTGCAGTCATACTGGATGTTTCTGGACAGCTGGGGGTGGGGGTGGGGTAACGTGTCTCTAGGTGCCAGAGTCACATTCCAGAATAAGTGTGTCACCAGGGATGGAACACTGGCTGCAGGTATCAGGTATTGTGCCCAGCTCAACTGACCGGCTACCTCTCACCACGTGGGTGCAGTGAGGCGCACTTGGACAAGGACTGTGGTCACTCTGGGAGGAGGGGACCCTGGGGCAGGTGGTCCAGGCCACCCCATGGGCTGGAGAGCCGACTGAGACTTTTAAAAGCTGTCTTTTCTGGATACGTCCATGTTCACATCTGTGCTGTTCTTCATGAAGTTCCCTCACGGCCCCTCTTTTATTCAATGCTGGAGTAGCCCGTTCCTAAAACATTGCTCTGACTGGCACTTCTGCCCCCCACCCCCAACTGCTCCAAGTTTTCCCTGACAAGAACTAAAGTGTGACTTTCAAGATGGATGGGGAAGTTGGCCCTCAGGGAGGGCAGTGTCTATACCAGGAGCCCTGAGTCCACCCTCAGCTTACGATGGCTCCTCGGAGAACGGAATCGGGCCATTGTGATGTACAGGATTTTCATGGGCTGTTTCTCAAACCAGATCAGTCTGGAAGCTCTGCTGAAATGTATTCAACATCTCAGCGACCCCTCAAACCCCCAATGATGGATGGGTGGTAGCTGCCCAGGAAGTGAATTGGCTGGGATTTGAACCCAAGTCTCTCTCCCCCATAAACACTGAGGATCTGCAGTCTATTACCAGATTGTTCAATGGATTCCCTGATACGTCTCTGCTAGCCAGAGCCCGCCAGTGTGCGTGCTGTAAATCCTAGCCTGTGGTTATGGTCTTGTTTCGGAGTTAGTTATCTTTTATGTTTATGAGGAAGAATTAGGGTGGAATGCATCCTGAGTTACTGCCCTACTAGAGGGTGTGACTTGAGTCTCCGCCCTCCACACCACTGTGCCACTTTGCACAGTAAGGAGAGTCCCCTTGGGGCATATGATTTGCATGTATCTAGCACATAGGAATGCTTACCAAAGTTCACCCCTTGTTCTGGTTCTTGCATCCTGGAACTTGAGCCAGCATCCCCTGATTGGACCTAATCAACTTTGTGAGCCATTTGGGTTCGTCAGTTCTTATAACCACAGGAGTCAGGAGAGGCCTCCAGACTGACTCCTGACCCATGGATTTGGGGCTGTAAGCCTCCATAACTGTGTGACCCGTGCCCTTGATGTTGCGTGAGTTCTGCCAGACTTGGTGGTGCTTTACAGAGCCCTGAGGCAGGAGGGACGGTACTTGAGGTCAGAGATCAAGTACACTGGCATGGTACAGCAGTTTGAAGAAGTTGGACGTTTGACACATCTTTAACCTCCACCTGGTAGGAACCAACTTTGTGTTGATCCTTATCACAGAAGTTAGTCCCTCAAGGAAAGTCTCACTTTCTATGAAAGTAGAATGGCTCCCACTTACCTTGGACCCTGAGGGCTATAGTCTGACTTGTTTGAAGCCTGCTGGCCACCTGTCTCTGTCCTTTTCAGTTCTCGGAGGTACTGTCTTCCTGTCCTGGGAGGCCCAGAAGGACTGCAGACCCCAAGATGGACTGGCTCCCTGGTCTAGCCATAGCCAGACCTGGGGAAGGTGTGTTGGTGGGTGCAGCCAGGGTACGGGAGACTCGTGGGTGGGGGAGTTGGCAGTGCTCTTCAGTTGCCTATTCCTGGAGCCTGCAGCCAGCACCTGTGGTTTCTCATGGGCCTTATGAGATTGATGGGACAGAGACTACTGCCCTCCATTGCCACCCCTTCACGGTGTGTGTGTGTATGTGTGTGTGTGTGACATGAACCTGGGAGGCATGACCTTGAGAGGAAGTGCCCATCTGACTTGGTCTGACTGACAGGTGACAGAAAGACAAAGTCCCAGGCTGCACCCTCACTGGAGGCAGCGTACCATTACCCTCTTTGCCCAGAAAGGAAACTGAGGCCAGAGAGAAGGACTGGCCCAAGGTCACCCAGGGCTGGGAGCTGGACTGGGCTACCTGGCTCTGCCTTTGTCTCTGCTCTATCTGCTACCAGAGCACCCCGGGGCTGTTCACCTGCACCCTTGTGGGCTTGTGACCCAGATTTCCTGGGTCAAGTAGGGAGGGGCGGTCAGGGGAGGTGATCCCTAGCTGACTCTGCGGGTGTGGAGGCCCAGTGTCCTTTAATCCCACTTGGCCCCAGCTTGTCACCATGGGCATGTGTGCTCAGACTTAGGGTGGTGTGTCTGGGAGGAGACAGGCCTGGAACAGACTCTGAGAACAATGCTTGGCATTCCCCAACACGCCTTCACGGAGCAAGTGAGGCTCAAGCGGCTACTGTTGTGTAAATAAACTCATTTATTACAGTAACTGTTTAAAAAATGGATGACCCCCACCTCACGGATGGGGGGCCGGGGTTCCCAGAGGTGAAAGCCACCTGATGAGAGAGCCTGGCACCCCTCACGGGAAGGCCACCTACCCTCCTGCTGGGTCACCACCCCAGCTCCAATGTCACCTCCTCCCCAGATTCCTAGGGAAGTATCAAAAAAAAAAAAAAAAGTCCACCTGCCCCCAACAAGAACTGAGGAGACAGAGCCGGGGCATCAGACCAAGGGTATAATTTGAAAACACAGAGATTCCGGTATTTTCATGGCATATTGGGGACATTGACAAAAACGCGTTTGTTTCGGAAAACACCGCTCCAGGAAACTCTCTGGACTGCAGGGCATGCTGGGAAGAGACTTATTCTGTGAATCATTGGTTCTCAGACTGGGACAACGTGGGGTCTGCTGACCTTCACCCCTAGAGCCCAGGAAAGGAAGGAGCCGTGTCCCTCAAGTCTTCACAAGGACCCTAGGAAGGGGTTAGGAGAAGGCTCAGTGGAGGGGCTTAGATCTGGGACTGAGTCCGGAGAGTCTTCCCATTGGAACCTTCCCACAGTGCTCGCTGGGACAATCCATCTGAGCAGGCACCAGGGCAATGTGGGCAGTTCAAACCCACCAGCCATTCCCATAAAGATTTACCCCTTTGGGAACCTTGAAGAGCAGGCCTGTTCTGTCCTATACGCTCACTATGAGTCCAAATCGACTCAACTGCAGTGGGCTTTAGGGCCGAAGGTACCTCAGCTGGACACAGAGGACACTCGGGCCTGGAAGCTGACTGACCACCCACCATCCAGCCTGGTCTCGTCCAGCCACCAATCTCTACGAGACCAGGTGGGGCCCTATTGTCTTTCTGTGTCTCTTGGGGTGGGCAGGACATGTGAAGGGGTGGGCCAGGGTCTCTGTGTCCACGAGGCAAAGATTAATCACGTGCTGGGCCATCTCTTCCTGGCCCCCAAGTGCCAGCTGCGAGGGGCCAGGGTGGAGGCCCTGGCTTCAGATTCTAAGGGACGCGAGGTACCTGAGCCTCAGTTTGCACATCTGTAGAATGGGGACACTCCCTCACCTGGCTGAGAGGAAGCTCGCTGGTGTGGATAGCTCACAGGCCAAATGGGAAACAGGGTCACTGCGCCCACTGACTCACTAAGCATCAAGCGGAGGTAGGTCCTCTCCAGGCAGGTGTGACCTCTCTCTCCCTTCACACCTGCCAAGAGGAAGATATCCAGGAAGGAAGCTGGGCGTGAGAACTCTCAAGCCATCCAACAAGGCCAGGGATAGGGATACCAGTGGAGGGGGGAGGACGATATCTCTTGAGGCCCTGCTCCTTGGGGGTGGGAAGGTGGGCAGCTCCGAGGAGGAAGGGAAGTGACCGAGATTCCCTGCCTTGTGATGCTTACCTAGCCCCTGGTGAACACCTAGCCATCCACCACCTGTAAATGAAGCAGTCTGTGAATCTTTCATGGGTTGCAGTTAAAGATAGATGAGGTGGGGCCCTTGGCCCAGTTCCCAGGGCTCAGTCGGGGGCAGCCCAGGTCTAGTGCCCCACTCCCCAGGGTATAGGGCAGGAGGCCACGTGGAGACGGGGACAGCAGGAAATAAAACTCCTTGATGCCTGTCCACACTCTGGGAGGGCAGTGTGTGTCCCCAAGGCTCCTGCTCTAAAGAGGAAGCCTGGGCCGAAAAGTCAGCCGAGGTGGACTTGGAGAATGCCAGAGGGGTTGGGCAGACACTATCAGACACCAGAAGACCAGACCCCAAATTGGGCAGGCACCCCAGGCTCCAGGATAAATCCATCCCCACTGGGAGAAGCTGGGTCCAACCCCAATCAGCCCTGTCCCTAACAGGGAGCCAGAGAGAGGAATAGAGAGGTGTACCCAGCCTAGCCCCCAACAGCCTCTCAGGTCCAGCTCCCCACATCTGAGGA